AAAAAAAAAAGAAAAAAAAAGACATCACAGCAGTTCTTGAGAGAACAGTATGTTTTTGTGCCTTCAGGGGGAAGATTTTCAAATTAGTTTTTGCCCCAATAACTTATTAAATTTGCTGACTTATTTGTTCTCAACATTTATTCGAATTATTATTTTACCAACAAACGATACTCACAGAATTTAAAATGCACCACTTTCATTATTTAGCAGGATTTCCAAAAGTAAATTAATTTGTTTTAACAGAACATTAAATTGTTAAGTATAATACAGGCCTTCGGAGTGGGAGTCGCAAGTTCGTATCCAGTAAGGGTCCTAGGCTAGACACATGCTAACCAAGTCTACTGGAATTGGAATATGGGATGGAATTTTCGATACCCAACATTCACGAACAACAACAAAAACAACAACTGGGATCTTCCATTTGGAAGAAGGGACTGATCTCACAGGTAGAGACTGACGACACATGCTATGGCAAGGGGGAGAGGTCGGGGGGGGAAGATATCATCACCCCCACCTGAGTTTGGGTATCAAGTGTGATGAAGAAAGGTTGTTTCAAAGTAACGTGCTCAGGTTTCTCAGCAGACTGCTGCAAACAGGGATAGGTCTCAAACTCCAGTCTCTGTTGCAACACACCTGAATAAAATTAGTAGGTCATTAGCAAGACTGTGTAGAACTTGGGTTGACAATTTGATTCATGTTACAGCAGCTCATAAGTGAATGAACACGGTGCAATAAAAGTACTTTTAGAACAAACTTTTTCCAAACACTTACATTTTACGTGAGTAGGGTTAGGGGTTGCCACTTCAGCAGGCGGTCAAGTTCTATACTCTTGCTACTAATTTTATTCGGGTATGTTGCCACAGGGACACATGGAAAAGTTTCAGGACAACGGCCCTCAAGTACTGGAGTTTGACACCCCTGTTCTAAATCAAACTACTGTTGTAAAAGCAAAAAGCATCAACATTATATCAACGTAAGGGATACAGAAAATCATTTTGGAAAGCTTGCAAACGTGCATGTTTATGGTATGATATGGTACTTCTGATATGGTATCACAGCTTCATCTTTAAGACACAAGAGGACCTGACATAATTAAGGTTTAAATTTATTAGTTTTTAGATTTTTAGAACGTTGTTGCTTTGTCTGCAGCTACTGTGGTGTTAAAAAAGTACAGAACGGGCTTAGGCCATGTACAGAGTTTATACAGTAGAAGGTCTGCAAGGATAATGCTCAGGTTTTCCAGAGAACTGCTTGGTCAGTAACTGGACGTTTTGTATCATGGTGAACCCGCTAAACAATTAAGCCACCTTCATAACACTGAAAACATGGATTCAAACCTGAGGTCTGGCAGCCCTAATAGTCACTATTA